TAACTTCCTGCCCCTCAGTACTGGGAGGGAGCCTCATTCAGAATTGAAGAGTTTGAGGACAGAAGTGCCTACGTTAACATGATGAAAGTAAGTATAAAGTTTAAAAGTCTGAAGGATCCCGGGGTGCTATGTTTACCAGAAGGGGAACTTGTAAACTGGAATCTGACTTGCTTGGTATAGTTCCCTTGCCTCTGATGACTTGATAAAGCTTTTTTAAAGAAGCTGTCAGAGAATACACATAGCAATTCACAGCAAGGGTAACTTGCCCAGCATCTCACAGCTATTAAATTAGAATGCCTGGTTTAAATTCTAGCTCTTCAACATTAGAAATGGGGGTTCTTAATTACCTCTTATTACCTCTGAGGTCACTGTTTTTAATTGGCTTGGTTTTATCATTGGTGTTGTGTTCTTTCCCCACCTCCAGCTTTGTTGGCTGATGAGTATTTTTCAACTATGCTTTGAATCAAACAGACTTGTAAAAGTCTAGCCACTTTTTGTAGCATCTCATGCTTTCACAAGTGAAGTCCAAGTTCTGCAAGAACCTAGAAATGACCTTTCTGGAAACAGAATTGAAAACTTATTTAAATAGGAGAAAGTTTACTTTGTGCCATGCCTGTTTCTTGCTTTGGTAAATGAAGTCTCAACTCTAGGATGTATTCAGTTGCACACGCTTTTTTTTTTTTTTGTCATAAAACCTATTAAACAAAAATGGCCTGACTACTCTCAGATCAAACATAGCAATGAAGATGGAAATTGCTTGCTAGAAATTTTTTTAAATCAATGTGTAGATTTACCTTGTGGCAAGAGCATTTCTCCTAGCTTGAATTTCATGTCAAAATTTGTTGAGGGGAGGCTTTGGGGGAATATGCAGGTTCATAATTTGGCAGAGTTAGAGGCCTGGCCTTCCTGTAACCATATTAAACTCTGTTTTGGGTCCTTATTGTAGGGTACCTTGATGTAATCAGTCAGTGTTTATTGAAAATCTCATATGTATTCAGTACTACGGGGAATGTTAAGAGATAGAGAACCAATAATACACATGGTCTCCTCCACCATGGCATCAGTGATGGATGGCATTCATATAAAAGGCATACTCCTAGGGGGCTGTGGTGTAGATAACATTGTATGATTAAGGGAACATAATTAGAATTCATAAGAGTTACAGGCACATTATCAAAAGAGAATCATGAAGCCATTGATATGTAATACTTCATCTATAGACTTTGGTGATTTTTTTTTTAAAGTAATGAATTACTTTATATTGTAATTTCCCATGGCACACCAGTTTCCTTTGAAAGTGACAGTTGAAAATTGCTTTTGGATATTATGACAGTAGGGAGGAGGCAGACTTGATTGGCATAAAGTCACTGAGTAATTCAGAATAGTATGAAATATTACTGAAACATGGAGCTATGCATTGTACCTACTCGTTTAAGTTTTCTAGACTTAAGGACAGCTTTGTGGACAAAATGGCTACAGAAAAAATAGTATAGGCAGCTTCTTAATTGCAAGAGAAATATAATGTTATTTTAAACTGAGAAGGAATTTATGATAAAGGTATCAGGGTATACTGTGAACTTTTTGCCACAATTTCCTTCCTAGATATATAACCAACAAATCCACACTCACATGTGTATTTACCAATATTGTGTGTAAAAGTGCTTACAGTAGCCTTTGTAGTAGAACCAAAGAGGACACTATCCAAATGCCCAAGACTAGCACAGATAAATACTGTAGAGCATAGATATACACCTAATCAAATAAAGGTATAGGACCAGGGCAGTGAGAATGACTAAACTGTGGTTATGCACGACTTAGGTGCATCTCAATAAAGATGATGTTGAATGAAAAGCAGCTAGATGCCGAAGGTAGCATAGTGAATGATTCCATTTGTGTCAAGTTGAAAAATGGGTAAAACTGATCTATACTGTTAGAAATCAGGATAGTGACCTTTAACAAGTAAATAAAACCTTGGGCCCCTGCCACCCACTTGGGAGACCTAGCTCCTGGATTTGGTCGGTCTGGCCCAGCTGAGCATTTGTTATTGCTGGCGTTTGTGGGTAGGGAGGACCGAAGAATTAAGGATAATTCTCTCCCTCTCTTTTTTGGTCTCTCTCTTTAGAATAAATAAGAATGAATAAGTAAACTTTAGAATTCACAAGAGTAGTTACCTTTGGGAGGGGAATAGTAACCAAAAAGGGAGCTTTGGGTGTATTGGTAAAGTTCTGTTTCTTAACACCAGGGGGTTCAGTTTGTGGAAATTCTATGAACTGTGTACTTACTGTGTTATGTCACTTTTCCTTTTACATATGTTATTCATGCTTTGCTTTGTGTATGTATCAATAAAATCTTTACTTTGTAAGAGATGAATCAGCTCAGAATGACTGGTCCTACTGGCTGTAAACCCCCCATATCTTGCTACTGAGCTACACTACCACTAAATCTGACACAGCAGCTTGCATCACTGCCCACTCGACCACCAGCCCTGCTGGTCCTGCAGCCTGGGTGCTCTATCTCGTGCAGCTACTTCCCCTCCTTCCAGGGCATTTGTTCCAGTCCTGGTTCAATTGGAAGCCCTCCTATTTAACATCTGGGGTGAATGCCTTTGTTAGGCAGCGGTTAGCCCAAGTGCTCCTTCTTGCTGCAAGGCAGGCTGGGAAAGTGAGTATTTTTTTCCCCTAACTTTTTTAGTGCACAGTGATATCCACTAGAAATTCTAAACAAGGGGACTTTATTTCAGGTTTGGGGCAGCCTAAAAGAGAAGGGAATATTTATTCAGGTGATGTTTAGGTCAGTAGAAGAAAGGTGTTTTCAAATGCTAACCACGGTAGAAGCCTCAAGGTAGAGGTTGAATAGAATATGACATTTAGGTGTGTTGGAAACGAGTTTAACCGGATTAAAGGGTGTGTTCTGGGAAAATGGGTTGAGAGAAGCTAAAGTAATAGGGTGGGACAAGATTAAGGAAAGACAAGCAAAGGAATTCAAATTTAATATGGGAATATTGGAGCCAATAAAACTTTTTAAACAAGAAAGTGTCCTGAAAGGAAATGGTATTTAAGGACGATTAATGTGACGGTACTTCTAGGGCTGACCAGGGAGCCTCTGTAATGATTAAAGTAGGACGGTAGGTTGGGAGTAGAAATCAAAGCAATGACTGAATTTAAGAGAAAACTAGGAAACAATAGGATTTCACAGAGTAGAAACTCTAAAATTTCTGGGTTTGAGTGACTTGACCTGGTTTTTATTTAGTACCAAAGAGGCTGAGGAGAGAAGTGATTGGAGACAGCAGAACAAATTCTAGTTTTGAAAACTACTGACTTGGAGGTGATAGATGTATGGGTGGAAGTTATCTCTGTGCAATTGGAGATGGAGACCAGGAGTGAAAAGAATGGCTTTCGCAGATAGAAAGGCTGTGAAGAGAGTGGACTGTGTGCTGGAGCCCTCTGTTCATGGGCCACCAGGTAGACAATCTTGAATTTGATGTCAGGTGATAACTGAGTTACAACCTGTGCTATCTGCGTCATAAAGCTGCAGTTCTCTCAGTTTGGGACATAATGATTTTATTACTATTTTATGTAGCTTTTTCGTTTTCCTCTAGTATATGTGGGGCTTTTCTTTCTTTAGTTGTTTGTAAGTTTGGAACACAAGAAGCATATGCTGTATAAGAAGATTTGCAGTTGATTTGAAAAAGTGTGAGTTCTCAGAGCACCACTGTTGGTTAGGGCTGGACTGGGATCACAGCTCCATCCCATTTTAAACTCAGAAAAAAGTCATTGTAACATTGCATAAGTCTCACATGGTCTTTTGGGGCCTTGGCCAATAAGCTTAGTCACTTGCCAGTAACTGCACGCTTTGGCCTAAGTGCGTTCTTTAGGCTTCCCAAGACAGGTCTCCAGAGCATAACACAAGACTTCTGTGTACAACTTGAAACAAATAGGCAACATGTCCCTGCCTGTGGATGACACTGGATTTCTTATATATCATTAATGGATATGCAGTTATCTTGAGAAGACGGCCTAGTCCTTGTATATGGTGTGAGAAAGTGAAAATCATTGGGTGGTTGTCCACTACCTTACATTGCTGTGTTCGTCAGCCAGGTTCCTCACTCCGAGTTAGTGTTTTGAGTCTTTGGGCTCAGTGTAAAAACTCCCAGGGCTTTTCTGTCTCTATAAAGTTTCTCTGCCTCTTTAGAGGTGGCAAATTGAGAATTTAGGAAATAGTTTTGAATGCATATCAAAAAATTCATCAGCCTTGCTAATCAACCACATTTTAAAGTGAAACAGGTGAAATTTCAGTTTATGGAAGGTTTTTCTTAGAGATCTAATGACTATTCTTTGGTAATAGGATGCACATGCTTAGGAGGAGCTACCCCTGTTCTGATCACATCTGAGGAAGAGTTGGGGAAGATATCTAGGTGCTTTAGATCTTGTAGCTTGCTATCAAATTTAAAGTGTCAAGACCACAGAACATCAGCTCTGTCGTTATTTTTGCAGGGAACATTTCATCAGTGCTTTGAGAGAAGCAATAGTTTTTTTCTTTTTTTTAAAGATTTATTTATTTTTGTTTGAAAGGCAGACTTTACAGAGAGATGGGAGAGAGAGATCATCCATGCTGTCTGGTTTACTGCCCTGCCACCTCCAGAACTGAGCTAATTTGAAGCTTTATCTGTCAAGAATTTTGTTAAAAATTACAAAGAAAAATAATCACTAGGATAGCATATATTAAAATACCTTGCTTCTCTTTAGAGCTGATTGAAGTTTTTAAAATAAATATATAAGCATAATTGTATTTGTTTATGGGTTACAGGATGGCATTTTAGTACATGCATACAAATGTAAGGATTAGATCAGGGTAAGTGGCCTGTCACCTCAGGCATTTGTTTTTTTATGTGTATTTTGAACATTCAGAATCTTCTACTACTGTTTTGAAATATACAATTAATTGTTATTTATATATTCTGTGGTACAATTTAAAAATCCTACTTTTGACATTAAATGCAGGAGCCAGCCAGTCATATGCATTCGAACTTCATTTGAACGATTCAAAAAATGCCACTTGCCTTTATGCAAATTGGCAGATGAATTTCAACATAAGCTATGAAACTATCAACAAAACTAAAGTAAGTAAATATTTTAATTTTCTTGGATTTCTGCAGTAAGAATTTAATTTTGCCTTATTTAAAATGCCTATGGTGCATTTTTTCAAATATGATTTCATGCTAACTGACTTACATTTCAATTCTGGGTGGTTTTTTTTGGGGGGGCATGAACACTTGTACGTATTCTGTTTAGTGTTGGAACGGGTATTCTAATTCATTAGCTCTCTAAGATTTGTTTTTAGAATTGGCTTTGGGAAGATTATTTGAGCATTATTTGTTCAAATCTAACTACTTCTGTAATATCTTTAAAATGTATGCACATATACCAAAGTTGGCCTCTTTTTAAAGCAGCTTGTTATTAAAATCTTAATCCAATTCTTGTTTAAAATTTTCTTTTTATGAAAGTCTTGCCCATTAACAGCCTCATTTAAAAAGATTTTTAAAGGTTTATTTATTTTGAAAGTCAGACTTATAAGAAAGAGGACAGTGAGAGATCTTCCTTCTGCTGGTTCAACTCCCAAATGGCCACAGGAGCCAGCAGCGGGCCGGGTTCAGGCCAGTGACTTCATTTGGGTCTCTTGTGAGTGGCAGAGGCCCCCCTGCACTTGAGCCATCTAATGCTGATTTTCCCAGGCCACTAGCAGGGAACTGGATCCTAAGTGGGAGCAAGTGGTGTCTTAATCTGTTGTGTCCCAACACCAGCCCCAGAAATGTGTGATACAGTCTGAAATGCTTGGTGCTCATTGCTGCCTATTTGTTTTTTACTCACAGAATTCTCTCTCTTTTAGAAATCCGTTGTTCCAGAATATAGCAATGTGACATATAAGGGAAGCTCTTGTGGGGATGAGGAGAATGGTCCCAAAATAGCAATGCAGTTTGGGTCTGCTTTTTCCTGGACTGTGAATTTCACCAAGAAAGCATCTAACTATTTGATTGACAGCATTTCATTTTCCTACAACATTAGTGATGACAGAGTATTTCCTGGCGCTAAAGACAAAGGTAACCATATTAACTGGATTTGTGCCATGTGCTCTTGCTTTTTTATTGATAATAAAAATGTAACTAGTTTAAAAGTCATCATTATGCCTGTCTTCCTAACCAGAATGAAAATGTCATAGCTTTTAGTCCCTTGGCTCTTACTCTGACACCCATGCATAGTGGTGTTTGTGACAGTGGTATTTGCTGTCATTATTCACGTGTTTTGCTCTGTATTAGATATTACTCTAGATGTCTTACCTGTAGCATTTTCTATAATCCCTTTTTAAAAAATGTGGTCAAGTTTTTTCTGCTTATTTGGTTTTTCTGTTTTATTTTTACTTTTATAATAAAATTCCATAGGCTTTGGGATTTCCCTTAATAGCAACCCTGGAAAGCAGATATTGTCTTAACAGTTATTTGCTATCATATCTATGGTGTGTATATCTGTATATGATACCACATGTAAAAATTGTGGGTTTTTTTTCTATATTCTTGTATTTTTGTGTTCTGTTTTGTATATATGTATGTATGTGTGTGTGTGTATATGTGTGTATATATATTTAATGGGGTATTTATATCTTATATGTATGTGCTCTGCCTTGCCTCAGAGTTAGTGAAAGAATTGGAGAGACAAAGCTAAGTTATGTTCCGAAGTCATGGAGAATTGGTAAACATTAAACTCAGTCTCATTTTTTATATTTGCTGCTGCTTGTGTTTCTCTTTGAGTAGTGGAGGGTTTATTTTTATTTTAGGTGATGTTTACATAGTTGGTCAGGGTGGGAATGATTGAGGGTTAGGGAAAAGTGGGTGTGATCGTTGTTTCTAAATCTTCTATTTCTCCTTCCTGTTTGTGGGGGGAAGGAAACAGATAAAGGGGAGAAGCCATGCCCAGCCTCCCAGCCGCCCCAGTACCCTAGGATGGAGAATGGTCACCCAGTATTGACCCATGGTCCCAATGTGGTACATGCTTCATGGGTTTTGCCCAGGTGGTTTCAGTAGTTCCGAAATGCTGTCTATCTTGCCAATTCAAGGATGAGGCTGCATTGGCTGACTAGTTGACCTTAGGTCTCCATTCACCCAGGTATTTGCTATCATTGCTTGGCTGGGGTAGTTGTTCAACTTGTTCTGTTTTATTTCCTCTACTGTGGTACCAGATGTCCTCTGCAGACCTCAGTGGCCTCTGCCTTTTCCACTGAGGATCAGTTCTCACAGGTGGGCCTAAAGACCCAGGCCAGGTGACCTAGGCCCTGTCACATCCCCTTGTCCTGGGGCTCATGCATCCAGCACCCAGCACCCAAGTACGCAGCGGAGGGTTTATAAATCTTTTATAATGTGAGGAAATGGTGTAGTGTTTGCACATAATCCACACACATTTTCCTGTATACATTTAGATAATCTCTAGATTACTTATCAGTAGAATACATACTTATCAATAATAATATAATGTAAATAGTTGTATTGTGCTTAAGAAATAATGACAGAATGTGTGCTTGTTTAATTATATCTGCATGTTTACTGCAGATGTAATTAAAAGTATTTTCTATTTGTGATTGACTGGGCCCAGGCATGTGGAAACCACCGATACAGAGGGCTAACTGACTGTACACCTTTGCATGTGGCACCTAGTCCTTGGGGGGCCCATCTGTGCATTCCTGTGCTTGCTTCTAGCATGTTCTCACCAATAGTCCTGATTAGGAGAAAGAAAGAAGTCCGTGTGTGCTAGAAGAATGAGAACACTTGGTTAAAAAGCAGCTTGTGCACTGCCACTGTGACTAATGATAGAATTTGAGTAAGTGGAGAATTTGGATTAGGATATTTCCAGCAGGGGGAAGTATAGCATGTGCAGTAGTAATTGGAGAGCTGCTGGAGGATAAGCCAGTTGGCTAAGTACAGTATGTCTGAATTATAGGGTGCCTTGGAAGCCAAGGAAAGACATTTAACTTGATGGGAAAGACACTGGAGAACCATTTTAGCTTTTCTTTTTTTCAAGCAAAAGAATGATGTAGCAAAAGCAGAGACAATAGTTGATGAAGAAGAATCTGCAGGATTAATTTGGAAGAGAGGAGACTGCAGGCAAAGATTCCAATGTTAAGATGCTGTTACAGTAATCAAGGGCTGATGTAATAATTTCCGGACCATGGGAGCAGCAGTAAAAGCAAAATGTGCATAGAAAAACAAGGGAATCTAAATGTTCATATTTCTCTCCCCTGCTTTTATTTTGAACAGACAGAACTGTTTTTTTTTTTTTTGCTAGCTTCTTTGAAATAAGATTTTTTAAAACTGTTGGCAACCTAAAATGTCTCCCTTTTAAAGGGACTGTTAAGAATTGTTTTTGAAATAATTCAGTCTTTCGAAATACTACTTTATGCATCTGAAAATTGGAATAACTTTCTTTTTATGATCAAAATGTAGAAAATTACAGAGAATAAAATTATAGATACGCGCATACCCCCATTTATCTAGCAGTAATAAATGCAGCTTTTAAAAAATTGCTTCATCTTTTATTTGATTAAATAAATAACATTTTGTGGCCTAGCGCTGTAGCATAGCACATAAAGCTGCTGCCTGTTGTGCTGACATCTATATGGATGCTAGTTTGAGTTCTGCCTGCTCCACTTCCAACTCACCTCTGTGGTAATGTATTTGGGAAAACACTGGCAAATGGCCCCAGTCTCTGCACCTGTACACCCTTGTAGGAGACTGAAAAGAAGCTCCTGTCTTTGGACTGGTCCAGCTCTGACTGTTGTGGCTATTTGGGGACTGAACCAATGATGTAACATCTCTCACATAGATGGCAGGGGCCCAAGTGCTTGGGCTGTCATCTGCTGTTTTCCCATGTGCATTATCAGGGAGTTGTATTAGAAGCAGTAAAGCTGAGTCTTGAACTGGCACTCATTTGGGATACTGGTGTTGCAGGCAGCAGCTTAACCCACTGCACCACCACATGCATTCCTCATATTTCTTCTTTAGCTCCATTTGGTTTTCCCCTTATTCTGTAAGTTTCAGCCTCATATCTGTCACTCCCTGGAACATGTCATGTGTTGTTACTCTGGGCATGGAATGAGGCAGGTTGAGAGAAGAAAGCCAGTATAAATATGTATGTTTATGTGATCAGATTTCTGTTACCTTCTTTGCAAAAGCTGTTGTTAATTTTGTTTTATAGGAATTATTAATGTTAATGACTCTGTGAAAATTAAAATTCCTTTGAATGAAATCTTTAAATGCAATAGTTTATTAACATTGGAGAGGCATGATGTTGTGCAGAACTATTGGGAAGTTGTTGTGCAAGCTTTTGTTGAAAATGGCACAGTGAGCAAAAAAGGTGAGTACTTAAAGAATGTATGTCTATACTTGAGTCCTGTTTTAAGCTTGGAGTATAGCAGGTAGATTTTATTGAAGTTGTTATCTGAAAGCATTTATATACTAAGACTTGTTCCTGGCTTTCATTGAACTCTAAAGTTTTTGTAAATAATAGCAATCCTTATCAATTTAGAGTTTATGATGCACATGTTTTGAAATGGCCTTTTAAAAGATTGTATTAGCTGATAAAACCTAATTGTTGAACAGATGTTATAGCTGGATCATCAGCTCTTTAGGAGTTCTAAGACCAGGGCTTAGAAATGAGATTTCTGTGTTTTAATTTTGCAAGTTGATTTTATAACTTCAATATGACTTTATGGAAATGTAAGATTTATCACTCACTAATACTGTGAAATTGCTAACAGTTTCTTTTTTTTAAAAGATGCTATTTATTTTTATTGGAAAGTCAGATACACAGAGAGGGGAGTCAGAGAGGAAGATCTCCCATCTGCTGATTCACTCCCATAGTGGCTGCAATGGCTGGAGCTGAGCCAGTCCTAAACCAGGAGTCAGGAGCCTCTTCCGGGTCTCCCATGTGGGTGCAGGGTCCCAAGGCTTTGGGCCATCTTCTACTGCTTTCCCAGGCCACAGGCAGGGAGCTGGATGGGAAGTGGAGTAGCTGGGATATGGAGTGGTGCCCATATGGGAACCCGGAACATACAAGGTGAGGACTTTAGCCACTAGAGATTAAAATACTTCCCCTCCCCCCCTGTTTTAGAGAGTATACAAATAAGATTCTTTAATTTATAAATCTTTTACTGATTTCTGAACTCTTTCCTATTAGATAGCTTTCTTCTTTTTATAATGGTTGTATGTGGGATGGCAGAAGGCACAGGATTGGTAGGAATGAAATGTTTACTGCCTTACATCCCTGAATTTTACACCAGAGGCAGGTGAAATTCTTTGGGATGAGCATGCAGCCATGCCTGAGTAAATAAAACATTTCAATGTGTCCCAAGTCTGTCTGGTGTATTATAATGCAGACATCTTTCGGATATGAAGCAGCAGTTTGAGAAACTGTCTCATTTAGTTGAAAATTATACTAACAAGGTATTCTTTCCCATTAGTAGAGCCCTCTTGAATTTTGATCCTGAGAAATATTTTACTCTGCCTCGGCCTTACCAATTAAGAAAAAGTTCATTCTAGTTTATTTTATTCTCGCTTGTTTTAGAGTTTCTGTGTGATAAAGACAAACCTTCTACTACAGTGACACCTGTCACCCAGACCACTGTGCCGTCTTCTACTACAACTCCCACTCCAAAGGAAAAACCAGGGGTTGGAACCTATTCGGTTCATAATAGCAACGGTACTTGTCTTCTGGCTACCATGGGGCTGCAGCTGAACATCACTCAGGACAAGGTGTGTCTTCTGAATCGTCGCATCCTTTTGCTATTTCTTTTCAATACTGTATGTTATACTGCCAGCCCAACAGAAATGGCTCAGTTTTAAGTGGAGATTTGGTATCTACTTGCTGAATTTTAATTAGTTTGGAGTTAATTACCATTATGAAAATTTAATACAGCTTTCAATGTATTTTCTTGCCTGGCAGAAATCATGGCAGTTTAAAGGAGTCTTGGGGTTTCATTCTATTTACCATTAGAAGATCAGCATATAAACAGTTGATATTGATGTTAGGTAGTTTAAAGTATAACTCAGTCACACTTTGATCTGAAATACACTGTACCTCGGTACACAGGAACAGTGGGAATATCTGTTTCTGTAGTGATAGCATATCAATAAACTAAAGTACACAGTGGTACTTCCCAGCCTCAATTTACACTGTAGAGGGAGTGCTACTGAAAAAAATAATCTGATTTCCAGGATCCTGTGACTTAAACAAGCTAGACAAATGGCTCTTGTGCTCCATAAAAGTATGTGTTTTCATTTTTCGTGTTGCTGAGAAACACTTCCCTGTTGTCCTTTTTTTTTTTAAAGCAAAAATTCTATTTATATGAAGAGGACAGATTTTGTGGATAACAATTCTGTTTTTAAGATTTTTAAATTTAGTTTGATTTGAAAGGCAGAGAGAGGAGAGACACAGACAGAAAGATCTTCCATCTGCTGGTTCCCTAAATGGCCAGAGTGGCTGGAGCTGAGCCAATATGAAGCCAGCAGCCAGGAGCCACGAGATTGTTCCTGGTCTCCCACATGGGTACAGGGTCCCAAGGTTTTGGGCTGTCCTCTGCCACTTTCCCAGGCCACAAGCAGGGAGCTGGATGGGAAGTGGGGCAGTGAAGAGATGAACTGGCACCCATGTGAGGTGCTGGCACTTGCAGGTGGAAGATTAGCTAATTGAGTCATTGTACTGAGCTCTATAGATAATGGTTCTGATAACCATACTTTCCTCACTTCTTCAATCTCCCCTCTATCCTTTAATTTTTGCTGTAAAATAATTTCAAGATACTGTTTTCAGTAATCCAAGTCATGGCTTGAGGACCGGTGCTGACTTATTTATTTTTTAATCTGGAAATAAGATACCATAAATTTAACTATCTTAGCAAAGGGTTTTGTCTTCACCAAAGTTGGTTTTATTAGACTCTAAGGCTTTACTGTCAACTTGTGTAGTTAATATGCACCTTTCCACCCCTTTTTCCCTGAAGGTTTCTTCGGTTATTAATGTCAATCCCAACTCAACTGGCTCCAGTGGCAGCTGCTCTCCTCAAACTGCTCAACTTAGGCTGAATGACAGCATCATTAAGTATCTTGACTTTGTCTTTGCTGTGGTGAGTAACAAATTTTATTTATTTTTTTTACAATTTAGATTTTCTTAGAAAATGCATCCAAGAAACAGTTTTTTATGTATATAGGGGAGTGGCTATTTAATCTTATTTTCGATCCCAACACTACTTAATTTTAGAAGGTAGTCCACTGATCCCTGGTCATCCCAGAGTTGGCTTGATGTTCTGGGGACTGGACACTGTTATGATTGCCCACCTTGAGTAGCCCTTCTGCCACTATATAGATTCTAGTGTAGGAGCAAGAATTAACTCATCTAAAAACAACCTGTCTGAGGTAATGCATATAATTAATTTGTATGATAATGATTCTCCATTACTGCTTGGACAACTCTTATGTTTAGAATAATATCTTAATCCTTTTAGAAACCATACTATTTGTGATAGTGTCAGAAATAATACTAACATTTATTACTTTTTTCTTTTTTATTTCCATGTCTATGAAAATTTTGAAGATCTTATTTTTTAATCTGAAAGGCAGAGTTATAGAGACAAAAAATATCTTCCAGTTCTGAGATTTTTCCTTCTGCCTCATTCATTCTATTATGGAGCCTTTCCAGTGAATTTTTAATTTGCTCTATTGCGTCCTCCATTTCCAATAATTCAGCTTGATTTTGTTCCAGCGTTGCTATTTCCTGTGTGACATACTCCTTAAATTCCTTTAACTCTTGTATGTGCTTCTCATTGTTGATAAGCTTTTAAAAGAGTTTTTTGAATTCTTTATCCTCCATTTTCTTGATGTATTCCTCAGTTAATTCTAAGGTTGGCAGAGGTTTTGCTACTTTGCAGAGGAGTCTTCAGTAATTCCATTGTGCTTTGTGTCTCTTTTGCTCTTGGTCATTGTACTTCTGGTTAGCACATTCTTCTCCTTAAGGCTGGTTTCTAAGTTGTGTCACCCTCAGGTCTACAACTCAGTTTTACTTACTGTGGTTGTTACACTGCTCTTTGTTTGCAGCCTCTTGTGCCACTCCCTCCAGCGAGTTCCAGGTCTAGGTTCTTATCTTGGACTTCCAACCTGGTCTCTGTAGCCCCAGCTCCTGGCTCACCACTCTACCTCCTGTAATACTGTACTGAGGCTCCACTATTGTCTGTACAACCTTCTTCCATTTCTGGTTCGAGCAGTTCCCAGGATTAGGGGGACACCAGATGTCCTAAATAGCTAGGTTGTTGTTGGTGCTGATCTTGCTTGCTGCTAGGTCTGAGGGCCACGCAGACCTATTTTGAATCATAGGATGCTAAAGTTAGTATTATTTTCTTTTTTTAAAAGAACTATTTATTTTCATTGGAAAGTCAGATATACAGAGAGAAGGAGAGACAGAGAGGAAGATCTTCCATCCAGTAACTCACTCCCCAACTGACTGCAATGGCTGAAGTTGAGCCAATCCAAAGCTAGGAGATAGGAACTTCTTCTGTGTCTCCCGAGCTTGTGCAAGGTCCCAAGGCTTTGGGCCATCCTCGACCACTTTCCCAGGTCAGAAACAGGGAACTGGACGGGAATTGGGGTGGTCAGGACATGAATTGGTGCCCATATGGGATCCTGGCATGTGTAAGACAAAGATTTTAGCTGCTAGGTTACTGCTCTGGGTTCGGTATCATTTTCTGTGTGAGACCAGTGCAATGCACTGAGCTTAGTGAGTTCACTTCCAGCTCAGCGCATGCACAGCTCTTTGTTGTCCCTGTAGTCTCCAAACCTTTGGCATTGTGTGCAAAATGGTGCCTGATGTGCCCCTTGTGCCGTTAGGTCTGGGGGCTACCTTGGACGTATTTTGGGTGGAACCTATAGGATGCCACGTTGTTGCAATGCACTGAATGAGCTCACTCCCAGCTTGGTGCATGCACAGTCCTGTGGCATAGCCTTTGCCTTCCTACACAGAATGGCACCCGATTCAGTTCTAGTGGGAGTCTGGGCTGTGAAATCCACCCTGTTCCCGCTCCACCAGTTTGGGATCTGCTGCTCTGTCTCTGCTCCTGGTCAAATCAAACAAACCAGAAGGATAGGCAATTCTTTCTGTGTGTCACTTCCTGAGCTCCTGATAAACTCTCCTTCCCACCTGGCTGTTGGTGGAGCTGTAGCAGCTGGTGTTCAGATCACTGCTCGCTGAATGCCACTGGGTTATCTGGTCACTGCAACTTCACACCATTGTCTCCACTGCTTTCCTGTTTCTGTCATTGTCCAGGTGCCCCTCTGTTGTCGATCTGTCCTCTCCTGTTTCCTGGAATGTTCCCTCTCTGCTTCATGCTGGATAATGTTTCTGCATCTGTTTAAATGTGTCCTTACCCTGTCCCACTATCTTGATTCTCCAAAAAAGATGTATTTATTTATTTGGAAGGTACAACAGAGATATCTTTCATCTACTAGTTTGCTCCCTAGTTAGCCACTATACCCAAGGACTAAGTCAGTGCACTATGCCCAGGACTAAGTCAGAAACTTGGAACTAATTATGCTAATTACACTAGTTAAATGCTTGGCATACTTTAGTTATTTGAAACCCAGAATTAGAGAGGGGAGCAACAGAGAATGAGACTCTTCCATCCTCTGGTTCACTCCCCAAATGGCCACAACATCTGGAGTTGGACTAGGCTCAGGCTAGGAGCCTGAAACTTCTTCCATGTCTCCCACATGGATGCACGGACCCAAGCATTTTGGCAGGCTTCTACTGCTTTCCCAGGAGCATAGGCAGGGGGCTAGATTGAAATTGGAACAGCCAGAACATGAACAGATGCCCATATGGGATGCTGTCACAGGCAGAGGCTTAGCTTCCTATGCCACAACACCTCCTGGGATGCCAGTTTAAGATGTAACCCAAAATGGTGACATTTTGACCATTATATGGGCATTTTGAAAAAGTAAGGAAACTTGCAATATCATCAGAGTTTTGGGAAATGCATAGCATGTTTGGTTTTTTGTTTTCTTAGAAAAGTCACCAAAAGTAGTCAGTCAAAGCCAAAATAAACAAATGGGACTACATCAAAATAAAAAGTTTCTGTACAACAAAGGAGATGGTCAACAAAGTGAAGAAGCAACCAAAAGAATGGGAGAAAATCTTTGCACAACACACAGCTGATAGGGGACCGATATCCAGGATCTACAAAGCGCTTCAGAAACTCAATGACAGAAAAACAAACAACCCCATGAAGAATTGGGCAAAGTAAATAACCAGAAGTCTTTCAAAAGAACAAATTCAAATGGCTATCAAACATATGAAAAAAATGCTCAGGCTCCTTAACTATCAGGGAAACACAAATAAAAACCAACATTGAAGTTCTGCCTAAACACTACTGAGGTTGGCCTACATCAGAACTCTGTTAAGATTTTTTTTTTTTTTTTGAAAGGCCGATTTACAGACACAGAGAGAAAGGTCTTCCATTCATTGGTTTACTCCCCAAAAGGCCCCAACAGCCAGAGCAGAGCCTATCTGAAACTAGGAGCCAGGCATCACTTCTGGATCTCCCACATGGGCCCCCAATTCTTTGAGCCATCTTCCGCTGCCTTCCCAGGCTACAAGCAGGGAGCTGGATGGGACGTGGAGCAGCTGGGACACAGACTGGCTCCTATGTGAGATAATGATGCTCAAAGGCTGAGAATTAGCCACTTGAGCTATCACGCTGGCCTCATAGCAATATTATTTTTATTTTTATTTTTCATGATGTAGTTTGTTAGGTTCAGAGATTTGCTTTTTCACCCTCCCCATACCTCATAACTCTTCCTCCCAACTATTTTCCTCTATATTATAACAATAGTATATTCCTTCAACAATGATCACAAATTCATCATTCTACTATTTAATTGTCATGGCATTGCAGGTACAGACAATGATAGAAAATCCAACATCCTATTGTCAAGATATATTTAACAGTTTCATTGGGGGTACATCTTTTTTTTTCTTAAGATTTATTTATTTTTATTGGAAAGTTAGATTTATGGAGAGGAGGAGAGACAGAAAGACCTTCTGTCTGCTGATTTCACTTCCCAAGTGGCCTCAGTGTCTGGAGCTGAGCCAGTCCGAAGCCAGGAGCCATGAACTTTGTCTAGGTCTCCCATGCGAATGCAGGGTCCAAGGCTTTGGCCATCCTCAACTGCTTTCCCAGGCCACAAGCAGGGAACTGGATGGGAAGTGGGACAATTGGGATTAGAACCGGCACCCATAGGGGATCCCGATGCACACAAGGCAAGGATTTTAGTTACTAGGCTACTGCGCTGGGCTGGGAGTCCATCTTTTATTTAGAAATAGTTGCATACTGCAGTGTATCTTCATACTTGCCTCCATTACGCAATTCCTTTAGATAAATATAGGTATATACCTGTTTACCTATGTATCTATTGATCTTGTATTATGCATGTTTTGTTTTGCCAGCAAGGTAACACTTAAACTCTACAATAGGATAGGTCATGCTCTCATACAGTATGGCCCACATCTCTAGCTTTGCTTTCTTCACTCTCTCTGCCTTTAGTTAACCAGCGGATTTCTGGGTTTATTTTTTACTTTTTATTGGGGCCAACTCTGTGTAATAGGTAAAGGCACCACTTGTGGCATTTTCCTTCTTTATGTGTACTGGTTCAAGTCCTGGCTGCTCCACTTCTAGTCCAGCTCCCTGTTCATGGCCTGGGAAGGCAGCGGAGTAAGTCCTTGGGCACTTGCACCCATGTGGGAGACGTGAAGGACACACCTGGTTCCTGACTTTGGACCTGCCCAACTCTGGCCATTGTGGTCATTTAAGGAGTGAACCAGTCACTGGATGGAAGATTCTCTCTTTCTCTCTCTGGACCTGTGCATTTTAAATAAATTTTATGAAAACCAGACTTACAGAGAAAGACACACACAGAGAAACAAGGATCTACCTACCCTCTACTGGGTGACTCTCAAAAATATTTGTGATGCCTGTAGTTGGCTTGGGACAAAGCTAGGAGCCTGCAACTCTGAATCTCCCACTGGAGTGGCATGGGCCCCAGGATTTGGGCCATCTGTTTTTGCTTTCCCAGGCAGGGTAGCAGAATGCTTGATCAAAAGTAGAGCAGCTAGGACTCTAACTGACATTCATGGGATGCGGGTATGGCAGGTAGCAGCTTAAGCTGCTGCACCACAATAATGAACCCGAGTTCTGGGCTTAAGTCCCACTCATTTAAGTGTGTGGCCTTAGGGTGAAATGATTTACCATCTCCATGCTTCTATTGTTCTATCTCAAAGTGAAGATTTGATAGCACCTTTGGCTAGGGCTGCCATCATGGTTCAGCGAATCCCTGTTTATAAGATTTTTTTTTAAAGATTTATTTTATTTTTATTGGAAAGGCGGGGCTGCCAGGATTAGAACTGACGCCCATATGGGATCCCGGGTGTGCAAGGCGAAGATCTTAACCACTGCGCCATCGTGCCGGGCCCTGTTTATAAGATTTTAAGAATAGGGCTTGGCACTAGGAATTGTTTTTTAAGCTTTATTGCTTTATTTGAAGTGTTACAGGGAGAGGGAAAGAGAAATTTCTCCCATCTGCTGAATCACTCCCCAAAAGGCCACAATGGCCAGGGTTGGGTGAGTCAGAATCCAGGAGCTTCATCTGAGTCTCCCTCGGGGGCTGCATGGACCCCAAGCACTTGGGCCATCTTCTGCTTTTTCGGTACCTTAGCAGGGAACTGGATTAGAAGTAGAGCAGCTGGGACTCAACTGGTGCCTATGTGGGATTTATAATAGGTGATGGTTGTTTTAACCCAGATTTGTCACTGCTGGCCTCACTAACAATTTCTTAAATTGTCACTAGTAGGCTAGTAAGCTAGCCTACTGTGACTATGCTTATTTTCTGATGACTTTCCTTTCCCCTTTCTGCTGCTTTCCTCACCTGATTATAACCCATTCAAATTCCTTATCCCTGTAGTGACAGTGCTTTTGTATTTCCCCTAGTTGGACGTAGTTTCTCTCTTGCAATTTTCATGACTTATCCCTTTCTTTGTAGTTGGATCATTTATTTGTTTTATCTTATCTTCCCTGGCCTATTGCAAACACAGTGCTGGCAGGATCCAAGTCTGGTTCATTCTGCTAGCTCCCTTGAACATGTAAGACATATTAGCTTGTGTATACTAAGCACTCAAATAATTTGAATGACTGGCTCCAAAGGATAATAGCCATGAAAAGGAAAGATTAAAGCTGGTAGGGATTAAAGTCTGGGAGTCTAGGTGAGAGGCTACTGCTTAATCCAAGTGACAGGAAGAGTGGAATTGAGGGGTGAATGAGTCATGATCTGCACAGTGGCCAGAACTATATCTCTGGTCCTAAAGTTGAAAATGAAATGCAAAGAAATAGGTTTCTGTCCTATTTTGAGTTGTCTTTTAGTTCTGTTTATTCAGCTGGCCAAGCTCTAATTCCTGGTTTCCTATTTTGTGTCATGGTACTATATTGCTTTTCTTCTGTAAATATTAATTTTGCTTGTTGATTAACTGGAAGCTTCTTTGTTCCAACAGAAAAATGAAAATCGCTTCTATCTGAAGGAAGTGAATGTCAGCTTGTTGGTTAATGAAACTGGTAAGCAAAGCATTCGCCTAGGGGAAAGGAGTGTGGGTGGCACTGGAGGAATAGGAACCACAGTTGTCTTGTTACTAAACAGTGCTTTATTTAATGAAACAGAACATGCTTTGTAAAAAAGTATCCTTTAACACTATGTGGTTCTATCTTGACTGGCATCCCATATTTTTAAAGTATACTGAACAGTAGTTCAGGATGGTACTGAGATGTTAGACTGTGGAAACATGTATGGAAAGATGAGGGAACTTAGGCTGGGAAGACTTGCTTTTTGTGGGTAGACAACTGCACCCCTACCCCCAGCTCCCATATTATCGGTTAAAACCCCTGAGAACTGTTCCATTTTTGATACTGATGAGGTAGGAAGAAGTTACTAACGTCTTTGTTTTCTTTAAAGTTCTCAGCATTTCAAACACCAATCTTAGCTACTGGGATGCCCCGCTGGGAAGTTCTTACATGTGCAACAAAGAGCAGACTATCTCAGTGTCTGAAGCATTTCAGATAAATACCTTTGATCTAAGGGTTCAACCTTTCAGTGTGATAGAAGGAAAGTATTCTACAGGTAAGAATCAGCAACACTTGATTTATGATTTATTTTCTTTGATTGCTAGGTGGCCTTTCTTTTGAGTCATGAACATTCATATGTTGAAATAGAGAATTATGAAATCTCTTTACTCAGGTTCTCATGGGCCCTGAGTGAGGCATGCGACTCTGTGTTTGGCTCATCCTTTTTCTCAAACTCTTTCTTGGTTTGAAACCTGTGTGCATCAGAGTTATTAAAGCTGAAAACTGGTCAAAGTTTTAAGTGAGCTTTCACATAAAATACTGATGCTCCTGTTTTTGTGAGGAGGATGGTACTTGGCCTTCTTGGGGCCATCTTCTTGCTGGACACATTCTCATACTTGTGTGAAAGCAGTTTGGCATGCTTTTAGTAGGACAAAAGAAAAAGACTGGCATTTAAGCCTCAAATATGTGTAGTTTGTTATTCACCAGCCAGAACGATCTGGAGAGGTTTTAAAGCATGTGCCGGTGTGATTGAGGCTCTGTGAAGATCTACTCAGAGCTAATAATGGCATTTATCAGTTTAAAAAAAATGAAACCCTAGCAAAGGGCTCATTATAATGTATTTGTGTGAAAATAAAAGAGATATTTTTCATTACAGGAGTGAAATTTGCATTTAGAAAAAAGTATATAAGATTCCTTAAGTGACTTGTCCTTTTCAAACAATTGCTAGAAATTAGGGGTTTTGCAGATCACAACTCTGTTGAATAGAATTATTCCAATCATCCACATCCCTTTGAACAATTAATTCTACATTTTGGAAGGAAATGTGGAAACTGTGTTTAAAAGTGAATATGCTGTGAGCCATTCAGCTGCTTTTACAGAAGTGTTGAACTCCTAGTCTGACTTGGTTAGAAGAAAGCAAATTCGGGTCTTCACCTACTACTGCTCTTCTGACTAGAGAGGTTAATCACATTTAAAAAAATATTTCTAACAATTCATTTTCTCTTTTGTCTGTTTTCCTTAAATGCTTCAATTATTTTGATCTTTTAATACCTTTTTGGTGGTAGAGTTGTTACATAACTCTCCTGCATTATTACTCTAATCTTAAGTTCCAATTTTCTGTTTAGAATTTGAAATCATTTGCGGTGTTCATATCAGTTCAGGCCTGCTTATCTGATCAGCTCTAATAGAGATGAACTGTGCTCTATTTCTATTCTAAAACTTCAGCTTTTATGTACATAGAATTTAAAAACACCACCCAAGGGAATATACATTTAATATGGGTATTGATGCGTAATCTGTTTTTTGGGACTAAGTTCTTGGCTATGAGTACTTATGAAAAATACAAGACACAAGCAATATATGGCTGTATAGGGTGAGAAAATAGAATTGCAGTAAGGTGGGAGAGTCGTGATTGGACCTTACTGGATCAGACTACTTTCTAAAAATAGAAAGCATAGCTCCCATGGGCTGCCAGCCCTGACTAGGTTGGTAAGAAACATAGTAAATATACTCAAATTAGTAAGAGGTCCCAGTTTCTTTATTTTTACAGCCACTAAAATTGTCTATTCTAGGTCAGGGATCTGAAAAAAAAATTCTTTTTCTGTAAATGTCCAGATAGTATTTCAGCATTTGGGGCGTGTGATGTCCATCACTATTCAGCTCTGCTGTCAATGCCCCAGAAAAGCACTAGGTGATGCATGGATGCATAAGATGGATGCATCTGCATAAGGCTGTGTTTCCAGAAAAGTTTATGACCACTGAAATTTGAGTTGCATGTAACTCATGTGTCAAAATAGTATTCTTTTGGTCACCCCACCCACTCATTTAAAAATGTGAAAGCCATGATTAGCTCATGGTACAGATTTGTCCCATGGGCTATAGCTTGCTGAATACTAATCTGAAGGATCCAGAGCAGGCCTGATTGTTACAATCCCGTGATACCTTCTAAATCTTTTCCTGTTCTAGTCTCAATTTCCCCAAAGCCAGTCACTCCACCATTGACTGAGAGGGTAACTGGCTATGTAGAAATGGGGCTGGCTTAGCTGTGTTCATTTCTGATAACAGTCTTGCTTTAGAAAGGACTTAAAATATGAAGAAGTATATAATCTACATACATATATGTATTTATAAGGTATAATATAAATTATGTGCTCATTCATAGATATTCATAGATACGAATATCTACATGTACATACACAAACAAATCAAAGGACAAATAAGTTTTGGGACTTCAATTGTAGAAGAGTTTGTAATTTTTTGTAGCTTTACCATAAAAATATATCTGTCTTAGTTACTTCAGATTGGTCTTTTAAGAGCATTTCTGACTTTTGAATCAGCTTCTTTTACTTTTGGGCATTCTTTTTTGATTATACTCATTATTTGTTACACACTTTTTCTCACCTACAGCCCAGGAGTGTCCGCTGGATGATGACACCATTCTAATACCAATTATAGTTGGTGCTGGTCTTTCAGGCTTGATTATCGTTATAGTGATTGCTTACCTAATTGGCAGAAGAAAAAGTTATGCTGGATATCAGACTCTGTAACACAAATGCACATGATGATCTCTGTTACAAAATAATAAAGCAAGTACAAGTTCCAACATACAATACTGTTTAATGTATATTTTAGTTGTAGTTTTTGTCTCAGAATGAGTGGTATGGAGGACTTTGAACTTCAACAAAAAATTCCCTAAAAATATGAACTGGAGATTTGTCATGTAATTTTGATTTACCCAGCCAAGGACTCTTAAGCTGTTATTTTTATAGCAAGAAGCATGTGCACATATGACCTGGATTGTAGGTCCTATTTTACCATCTAGAATTGGTATCACATGTTTTCACTTTATATTTTCTGACTGGAAAATATAGTTAAAAAAAATCAGTTTTTAAAGAGTTTTTCCCACTGCATGTAGTTGAATTGGGGAACATATTCTGTCGTGGATTTGTACTTGCTCTTCTTGGATTATTTTGTGATTTTTTCCTTGCAGATTAATTCAGCTACTTTGGCACTGCTGCATATTTGACGTATGAGAGATACAGCTGGTAGATTGAACAGGGCCTAGTATTATGTTCTTAGCAATGAATGCTTTTCTAATGCTTTTTGAATATACTTGTATTTAATGTCGCTGTAATGACAAAAGTTATCAAGGCTTTAAAATTTTTAGAATAGATGCTAATGTTTAATCCTTTAAAAACTGGATATTTCATTATTTGAAATTGCAAGACACAAGACTGTTCCAACTGGGCATTTTAATCCATTTTTAGGTGCTTGATGATAATTGCTAGGCAGTGCCAATTGAGGGCATTAGTCTTTTGTACCTGTAAATTGGCTTCTATATGCAGTACTAAAATTAATGCAGTTTTCTCTTAAGTATTCCAGTATTCCTTGCTGGTGGTAAATGCATTTTTCCTTTTTTTTTTTTTTTTGATGAAGAAATACCAGTATGTCCCACAACCTAGATAAAAAAGTGCCCTTACACTTACAAAATAACTTGCTCTAACTCAAGCCTTGGTCTTACCATAGTTCATTAAAAAGTTGTTCTATGTTTTAATTTGCATTGATTGCCATAGCATTTATTAGTTTGGCTTTTACATTTAAATGGTTATGTGCTAATCAAAGCTTACATTATTATTGTTTATTATGATAGAGTCATTGTTAATTCATGTACTCTTTATATTCAGTCTTAATGCTGTTAGAGATGCACCAATTGTTCATTCACCATGCAGTAACTAACGTTTGTATGAGAAAGCAAAAATATTTCAGCTTATTAGTTAACATAGCTAGTATTTCTTAAAGCTTCTAGGAGATGCTTTTTAATGGCTGAACATATATTTAAAGATTGGTAATATGCAGCCAAATGGAAGGTTGCTATGTTTTTTTGGAGGGAAATTAGTATATGCCTTCTATTCAGTAGAAAATGAGGGATATGTGGGTTCCAAAATTCAGATGTTGAGTGCATCAATACACACACACATACTCATGGATATATAGGCAATTGCATGGTAGCATGTGTATGTCTATAACTGTCTTTTGATTTATACTGGTATGATAAATATTTTCTTTCACTTAAATTAGTTCTCTCTTTAGCCTTGAAACATTACTGGTTCAGAATCAGATTCTTGTCTAACCCTGCTGTTAGAGCTACCTTGAGCTGCATTTCCAGTTTAATACATTTTGTAATGACTAAATATAAATCTGATTTTTTAAAAAGACTTTTTATTTAAATTGTGTTTCAATGTAACTATAAAAATGGATGATGCCTATAAGAACTTGGGCTTTAGATATTTCTCATGATTTAAAATACAGTGGCTTTTAAAAACAATATTAGAAGCACAGTGGGTAGCACTGGTTTAATGCTGTTGTTGTTATTACAAGTTTCTACATTTAGATTATACATCTAATATTAAAATACCTCTAATAAACACTGTTTTATTGAAAATCTGACTTCAGTGAAAATTTTTGTATTTTACATGGGCCAGTTTATTAGTGCTATTTATACTATTATTTACCACAGCCACATGTTCATTGTATCTTCTGGTTTTTGTTTTATTGGGTTTCCATCTTGGTGGTGACACTATTTGATTTGGGGTATTTTTCATGTCTTAGCATTTGTATGAAGAAACTGGTCCATGTAAATATTTTCCATGTTTTTTTCCTCAAATGTTTAAACCACTAGTCTATGTATGATATCTCTCTTTAGATATTTGCCTGTTTGCTCAACATTGCTTCTAAAACAATAAAGATTCTTTTATTTCTTAATAAAATCTGCTCAAATTGTTTCCCATTGATTAAAGTCAAGATTTTTTTATACACAGTGGCAATTTCTTTCAAAGGGAAAAATAGGACTAAATTATTTCTAAAATGTTCTCTGTGTAGTCCTCTGTCTATAAGAATGGCCCATAGAGGACCCCACCTGAGTCTAGGCTGGTTACAGAATCATTACCTGGGAAGTGTGGGAAGTGTGTTTCAAAAATACCCAAGCCAGGCCCCATCTCTAAAAGATTTAACTCAGTAGGTCTATAGTGAAGGGTGTGTGTGTGTGTGTGTGTGTGT